AATTCACAAATTGGCAAGTTTGTTTAAATCAGATACGTTGTTATATACGTAATTATGCCAAGTCAGTCATCAATCATGATTATTTACGTTTAAATTTAATGCACCTGTCACTCAGTCATCTCAACTGAACGCGATCTCCACGAAGTAGAGACTTCCTTCGCTTGGAATCTACGTCACGTACAAAACGAGTTGGGCCTAAAACTTCTTATTAGAGATAAGAAGGAGCCGCTTCCATTATTAAGGAAAAAAATGGTACATCCTACGGGAGGCTTGTGAGCCATCTCTTTGACGGTGAGCGAGTTACCAGAAATTTGTGAATGCCAAGCTGGACACGGGGCAACCGTCTCTCCGCCATCCTACCATCCTGACCATCTGCCCCCGGTCATTCTCCTACCTGAAACTTCTGTTCACCTGGCATCCCTACCCCCACCACCTACCCCCCCCCCCCGTGTTACTTTCGTTTATCTTATTTTTCGGGCCATTCAGCAGTCTCTCCACCCGACTACTGCCACCGGTTCTTTGTGAACCAGGAGAGATTCGCTGTGTTCGCGAGATACCGGAGCTTCTCCCACATACTTTTCTCAATGGAATTTGCCAACAGCTGGACCGTTCCACGCAAGAAACGGACCTCCCCGCTCGTCGATCTCACGGACTTGTGGCAAGACAATCCCTACAAATTGGAACATTGTCTAGTCTAATCTAAACGATTTCTTTGAAGTCCAGTGTTAATTAAATACGTGCAAGTATTTTACACGAGATAAGAAACATGTGCAATTTTTACCTTATTTATTATTCCACATTGAAAAGAATATGTAAATTTGTTAACGAACTAGGTAGAAAATAAAAAAAGAATGGAAGGAAAATGTAGCGCAGCAGGATAGGAATAAAAGAATTTAATTTTATGCATAACTTTCTCAAATGAAAAATTTTACCATTAGAAACGCTTCCATCTCGTCAATTTGTGTAACGATATATATATGTATGTATATTTGAAATGAGTTTTTTTTTTTATATATTAAGCGAGTCTTTATTGAATAGTATTGAAATGAGGTTTTTGCCCCAGCTTTCGCAAATTAACAATTTCATCGGTTGCCACAATTCCTATCACTGTTCCCTCGATTAATCGACCATTCGTTCGAACAACTTCATCGCTTGTTTCAATGGTATTCGACACTCGGGCATCGCTGAGTGAACTATGCTGTTCCTACAGTAAACTCCATTTCTCGCGCGTTCGCCTCGTAAATAAATGCATGCCGATCGAGCGTTAAATGTACATGGCTCGAATATGCAGAGGAATGTAGTTTACGCGGAATATTAATGAAACAATTAACTAACCGACTGCCGGCAAGCCTAGCCCTAGAATCAAAGGATAATTTCAATATTACGAATCCTAAATGTTTGAAAGAGTGGCTATTTATCGTACGAGGATTTATGCCTCCAGGTCTGACGTACTATACATCGTGTGTAAGCTCTTCTGAATATTAGTTCGTTAGAGACGAAATACCGATATTTCGTTACCAGCGCTATAGAATCTGTTCGTTAAGTGAAAAAAACTCGAACTCGTCAGACGCTCTATCTCTGTGCTCGGGAAATTTATTTCGAGCCTGCTGCATCTTATCAACAGAATAAAATACGTGACGCTGTTAATATATAAAAAAATTTGCAGTCTAACATCTCGCGCGACCAACAACGTTTACTGCATAGCAAAGGTCGTGAATATCTTAATATAGAAGAAAGAGCCTCTGATGTAAAAGAGTTTGAACGATCATCGTAACACACGACTTCTAACAAGACATTTATTGTTGGAAATGTTTTCTGAAACTTAGTATTCTAATAACGATACGATTGAATCGGCAGTCTACGTAAGTCGTGTAATATAATTTCAGGCATTTATGAGACGATAATGTAATAATAATCTTCGCAACTTAATCACAGTATCTGAGATCTCAAGTATATAAGCGTATCGAATTGATACGTGGTAATTTATTTCAACAGTTGGAGCAGGTAGTGAATTCAATTGAATCGCGGTGGTGGGCAACGAAATTAGTTCTTCGCAAAGATCTAAGTCGTCGCATGTTTCGTACATTCGATCATTGAATTGTGGAATTATATGAAACGGTAGGCACGTAGAATATCAAAGTCGACGTCCTCAATATCGTAAATTGAAAGTACATGTAATTGCTAGTTTATCGAGCAACGGGTGTGCTTCTCGCTAAACTGGCGCACGAGGAAGAGTAATTAAGCATTTTTAAGACACAGTAATTGTTCCTTCCGCAACGAACGATTACTAGACTCGTCGATGTTGCCCCGCAATGGTAACTACTATTGCAATTGCTTATACGGAACGGACGGTGAGGTAACTGTTAGCCGTGATGCATGCGAAATTATCACACGAGTCGATTCGATACTGAAGATTTTAAAGTCTCCTAGCACGCTCTCCTAGCAGCTCACCCACGCCAATGCGCACACTCTGTTCGCCAGGCGTTAAATCTAAATTTAATTAACTTGATTGAATCCTTGAATAGACGCTGCATGCGTGTGTCTCCACATGGAATAATGAAGACGCGCGACGAACGTGACTTTGTACGAGTTTTAATACGAAAGAAGATAAAAAAAATAGATCAGAATATTAAGGTTCCGCATTCGTGTCGCGTTCTTTGTCAACGCTCTCTTGTAATTTAGAAATTAAAAAAAAAAGAAAAAAGAAAAGAAGGAAAAACTCACCCTGTGCGGCAAGAAGTATCACCAATAGACCAACAAATCGCAGGGGCAACATGTTCTCCCGTCTTTGTTCACTTTGTCAACAAACGACACAATTGGCACTACAATTGCCGTTCGGTTTGAAACTATTATTATTTTCGGGAGAGAAACGCGCGTTGACGAGAGGACGGTACTCTCGCAGCTCGATGACTACCGTTCAACTGAATTAAGAAGCGAACGTATCCATCGATACGAGGTGGATACCGAATACAAACTGAGAGAACGAGCGCGCGTGGTATCCGAAGAGCGGCGACGGAACCGGGCCCCCGGCTTTTTACGGGGACTTGCGCCGATCGGTTGCGCACTCGACACCGTACAAACTCGACACGCGCCTCGACTCCTGTAGGAATAGACTTACACGCCTACGACGTGCATTTGTGTACGTGCACCGACGGCTTTTGTAGAAGCGCGCGCCTGTACAAAACTGAGTATGTATTCAATGGCGCAATATCGCGTAAATGCCGCGTGAATTTTTTTGTAAAACCCGCTTGTTAGTTAAAATCATGCTTTTCAGAGTTTCTGAAAATTTCGTTGTTCGATCTTTTTCAACGACCTTACATCACCTTGGCTGTTTGGTTTTACGATGACGATCGACGAAGAAAACGTGTATGTTGCAGTTTGAAATTTTAATCGCTGATCGTCGCTGATTGTATAATAATATTGCTTGATTATTCCTAGTTAAACCCTTTCGACTTCCTGACGTATTTTAAACTTTACACTTTACGCTGGAAATTTATGTCTGATGAGAATGGGAAGCGTACAGATATTTTATAGGGAATCGCGACTAAGTATAAATCAACGCTCGCAGACAGATAAAAGCGAGAATACGTATCGAATATCGAATTTATCTGTGTACAGAGTTTCGAATGAATAAAGCATAGGCTCATGCGCACGTATATGTGCGCGCGTGAGGAGCATGTATTTGCACGTTACTTTCGTCGAGCGCTTACCTCTTTCGATTCATCCATTCACTTTGTCATTGTGCATAAGACGAAAGGCAAAGAGCATTCACTTCTTTACATTCCTTTTTTATCTCCAAGCGAATTAAAAAAATCACACACATATATGTAGATACTTTGAACGAAATTCTCGTAATGTTTGTGCGTTTACCCGTTACGTTTAAGGAAAATTGTCATTATTCTAAATTTAGCAATTCGTTTGCGGAAATGTAATTAATTTGCATGTGAATTCGTAGGGAAGACTAATACCTACTGTGGTTATGACACATAAAAATAATTCGTAATAACATTGTAGCTATTAATCAAATGACTCATACTCTTGCGATGATGTCATTTGTAAAGTTTATTATGTATGTATAACATAGACAGATTTAACAAATATTCAGAACAAAATTGTTTTATTTAACTCGTTTAAATATAAATTAGCAAACGATTTAAATGATTAATACCTTTTTCGTACAACTGTTAATTCTAATTATTTTATTTACAAAATTAATAACATTACTCAAAAAGGTAAGTGCTCAAAAAAATCTAATAACTTCAACAATATTCATTTTTGTGCTTACTTTCTGCATTTATGCAGACGTCACTTAAAAATCTAAAGAGAGTTTCAGCGACGAAAAATGTATTTGAATTTCAAATCGCTAGCATGGCAAAGAAAATATTTAAATTTCATATCTAGCGCCCTTGAACAGGCACATTTCATTTCCTTTTCCCGTGATAATAAACAAAGCCCTTATTTTACTTCACACGTACAATTTCCTTTTTGTTGTGCATGTCCCTTGTGGTAGCGTAAATTTGTATCATAATTTTCATTTCTAAGTTTTATTTCCAATTTTATTTGCACAAAGTATTCATTTCTAATTTATTTCATTTATACACGTAATTAATGCAATAGATATTGGTTTATTACATGTATAACGTACTATAATATTTTATTTTCCCCGAGTGCCTAGTATAGCCATCTAGCGAATGTATTACGAAGCTGATACGTGAAAGATTTATGCAATTAACCGCGATACGAGTTGCCGAGCGTATTGAAGAAAAAAACAATTTAATATCTCGTAAGAAGAAAATATTTCTATCGTGGGTGTCGATAAGTTGATATAAATAGAGAAACACGAATAAAAGAGGGAATTGCAGGCATTCTGCCGTGCAGTTGGAACTGTTGGAGACCCATTCGCAAATAATGGTGTTCGATTGGCTGATTTTGAAACAACTGGAAATCCCGCCTAAGAAATCGCGATGCGTTGCCGAACGCAGGGGACAAAGGACGCTGTTGCACGCAAGCAGATGAACGCCATGTTCATTTGTCAACGGACGGCAAGGTGTGATCATCTGAAAGAGCACGATTGCTTCGAGGAAAAAAAAAGTATCGAAATATATAGTGGTTTCATTGTTCGAGTTAACGTGCATCTTCAACGACATGGCATCCTCGGAATTACAGAAACGGAAGCTGGAAGAATACGAAATGCAGCTGTTTAGCTTTCATTCGAGAGCCGTATACGCTACTTGTAAGGCGCTTCCGATATTCAGTTTCACTTGAATGCTTTTCAGATTTCGTGGCATTCTCGTTGTACGTAATCGCATATTCTGATCGTTGGACGGGTGCACTCTGGTATCATGTAGATTTGATCATGACTAGAGTCACACTCGTCCATTGCTTGGAATACTTTCACCGACCCTCTGCGGACGAAGTTAATCACAAAGACGACTAACGCTTCACTTTCTTTTTTCTTTTCTTTCATCTCTTTTTTTTTTGGAGGGGGGGGAAGGATTTCGTTTTTTTCTTTTTCTTTCCTTCTCGTTTCTCACGCTTTGGAATCAAGGAACAATAAATAAAATTTGACCTTGAACCGATACATATATGTATATACAAATTCCACTTTTTTTTCTTTTGCTTTCGTGTCTTGTTTGTCCAATTCAGATATCCGAGTAAAGTATAAAATATATAAAAATAAATCATTTAATACAAGTGATGATACGTATTTTCAACAAATATCTTAATTTGTTTTTATGGTTACACTAATGCTTGTACCAATAAATAGTGATAAACAAGAATGAGATATGAATGATCAATTATTGTTTTGTATAGTGCAGAATATTATAAATGAAAGGATATGCTCCACAATCGAGAAGATGTGTGAAACAATTGGAAAAGCATATGAACTAAATTCTGAGAATTTAAGTCTCCTTAAGACAAATGGAAAGCAATTAGAAAGAGCATATTTTAAAGGAGCGATGCCACAATTAGAAAATATTAAGGTAATTGCATTGATCAGAAATATGTAACAGAGGGTAAATACTTCTTTTTTCAAATATATGTAAAAAGTACAATTGTTTTCCTTAGAATGTTGTAAATAAATATATTGCTGTTCCAAGCAATGTTTTGCTTGAAGAAGATAAACATCAAAGGATACAATACAGTGACGCAGAATTTGAAAGTCTCAATCAAAGGTTAGAAGATTTACAAGAAAGAGCAAAAAAAGTATGTATCAAAATATTTTTGGAATAATCATATAAAATTTATTATTAGGGATAATAAGTGAAATTTCATTTCCTGTAAATATTATAGGCTACTATTTTGAATGCAATACTGAAAGAAGAGCTGCAGATTTTAGAACAATTTTCAATTTCTGAAGGAGATGTAAATAAAATGTGTGATATAATAGAAAATATGAAATGCCCTGATATAGGTGAAAAAATGTATCAGTTAGTGGAAGACTATAAACAATTTTCCACAAGTTTGTTTGATACAAGAAAAATTACAACAAAAATGAAGTACAACACAGTGGATAATCTGAAATGCAAAGAATTTGATTTAAGTATTTTATAAATTGAAGGAATATAAACAACGTAAAAATGAATTGTTTGTTTAAGGTGTTTTCTTCGAATGAAATTATGTAAATATGAAAATTGATATTCTATGAATTTTATATTTATATATTTTATACTTTTTCTATAAATAAATTAACTTGTAACTCTGCATTAATTTTGCAGCTGTGATATCTCTGCACGAAAATGTTTCTAAAAAGAAGAACCGAAAGATTAGCCCCACCGTAAAATTAGAAATTCGTACCACTTGAACAAACAGCTAGCAAATGCTTGTGGTACTTTTATTATTGAAACAAGGTATTTATTTTTTTGTACATCGCTTTCATTTTATACGTGCATTACGTGTAATCTAAGAGATATAAATTTCTATACATTCAATAGCAACTAAAAAAATACAACATAAAATTCATAAGTTGCAGCATAAAAAAGTTCATTAGTAATATTTTGTACGAGATCATGGTAACTTCAGTCAATATAAAACAATTAGAAATTCAAAAAAATTTAATAATTATAGATAAGCCGCTAATCTACTGTTGACTCGTTTCGCTTCCAGCGTAAGGTCACTTACACTGTTCTCTTCTTTTTAGATGTACAAAGAGGGAATATACATACTACACTACCGACAATCCACAGTTAGGTCTCTTTCACATAAGCAATGAAAGCCGCATACACGCACGGCGAGACAAGAGTCTTTTTTGTGTTCTGTGGGTTCTTACATGCTCGTGTATAAACTGGCATTCCCGGTTTTAACGTAACTTGTTCCTTTCTGCCTGGTAGTCGTGTATTCAATTCCCATATGTTTGTGTGGAAAAGATCTTAGAGTACACTAAAGCATAGCGCTTCCCCTTAAAAACATTCCAGTAGTGGGGCATGTTAGAGTGGGGGTGTTCGCTTCGACGCTTAACAAAGATTTACCAGCGTCATTCCAGCAGGTTCTATTAAGTATAATGGAAGAGAATAAAGTGTGCAATTATAATTTTTCATTTCTCTAAATTGTCAAAATCGTGAAATATTTTCCGACGTAACCAAATATTGCTATAGTTTAGACTTTTCTTTTTACAATAATCATTTTTATAACCAAAAGCAAAAATTTTCAATATAATTAAATAAATTTTCGTTTTCTATTTATGCCATAATTGGTGACTGAAAATTAGAGAAACTTAGATAAATGAGTTGAGAGTCATTTTTTAAAATATACATCAAACTATATTGTTAATGTTGTGTTATTATTTAAGAATTTAAAATTAAGCTAAATGAAATGAATTTATATATGTAATTTGTAAATATCAGTTAATAAAAATGAAAGACTTATGATATTAATTATTACATAAATAAATTATAAAACATGTTCGCTTATTTACAAGTAATTTTCATCCAGGTTTTGAATCTGTGAGAAAATAAACGTTATTTAAACGAGTACTTTGATGTACTGAAAGAAATTTGTAAATTTTTATGCATGCATTTTTGAATTACAGAAAGAAAACTGAGCAAATTAGTATTTGTTTTGCATATAAAAGTTAGTTTATGGACTTCAAAACTAGAGACAAACTATTTATTTTTCTCATAAATTACGTTAAATATTGGAATCAAATTTATTTGTGAACATAATTGATAGCATTATCTTCGAAATATATATCTAAAAAAAAATGCAAATTGTTGGTATACATTAAAATTGTTTTTTTAATATGGATACACAGACTTCGTCTGTAAAACAAGCTCTTCCAGTCTGTGGATGTAGAGACTATATTGATAATTATTCTCAATCATAGTACTACAAATTTAAATAATAACTCCGTATATAATTTTGACAATTTATATAAAAATATTATAAATGTAACAAAATATTTAATAGCAAATAATAAATATCGAATGAAAGTTAAATAACGAATGAAGAATTTCTACTGTGGTTACAATATATATAAGTATCTGTAAACATTTTTATAGTGGTAATTAAATTAGTAACTATTTTTAAATATTCTATTGTTTATGTTAAATACACATCTCGACGGAACGATGTAATGAACATAGATGGCATTGATCTAAATTCTTCGAAGTAGAGGTCGCTACATGGACAAGCAAGGTATTGCCACCTATCGGATTTTTTCAATTTACCCTTTTAGTTTCAATCGAAATTTAGAAAGGATTAAATGGCAGCACCATCTGCAGACAAAGAAAACAATAGTATGCGATAAAGACAGAAATAGCAATTAACCATCTTTTCGCTACTACGGCGGAGGTATTTTGAAATTGAATAATTTTCATTTGCCAGAAATACCACTTACGGACATGAATTTGCAAGCTTTTATAATTAAATTGGATTATCCGAATCCGAATTAGACTTCCAGCTTTGTCCCTTTACTCCATTCGACTTATAAAAGCACGTATAAACATTTACAAATTCCACTCAAAAAAATCGAAATACTCGCTTGAATGATTTTATTATTTGAGAGAGCTGTAAAATACATATATATACGTTACGTACGTATTTGTAGGACATTTGTAACATTTAACAAAAATATTTTTCGATGATAAATTAATCCCTATAAAAATGATTGAAGAAATCAGTCATTATCCGTTTTAAATTTTAAACAATTTCTATTGGTAATTTAAACGTGTATTAAGCGCGAGTTACATTTTGAATGAAAATGCAAACTCACAATTTGATCGATGCTGTCATAAATGCAACATAATATTAATGTGCATGATAAACGATAATAAACATCAGAATGCAGATTATCAATGTATTTATTGATTATTAAAGGAATATTGAACTCGAGATGCAACAACCAATAGCTTTAACGTTTCGTTTTAAATTTCTCAGTAATGGTTTGTCATTTCATTTCGTACGTTATTTTCCGCGAGCTTCTCTACAGTTTGAACGAAATTCTTATTTATTTTCTATGTGAAGTTTTACTGTTTTGCAATAAAGTAGGATTATTTTAAATATTTGAAGATCTCTAGTATTTTTTTCTTTTAGTGAAAAATCGATCGCAAAGAAGATGAACCAATAATATCAAGGTATGCCTAGTTTTGGTATAGCGTGTTGAATAGTTTCTTACAAATGGTATGGGATTAGAGTAGGGATGAAAGTATACAGACGTTGTGTCCGGTATTTCACATTAATGAATGTTTTATCATATGTTTGATACTTTGAGACATCAATATAATAATATAATCTTAAATTAACGGTAATCGTTGTTAAATAATAAAGATATAATTATATTAAGTCATTTGTATTAGGTTTGTATAACTTTTATTTTCTTAATAAATACCGATTTTTTGAAGCTTTCAGTTCAAATTAATTTATACAATGTTTATTATTGCTTCTGTGTTAAGACACTCTTATGATCATTACTCACATAAAACGATTAGTTTTATTAAGATAAAAGTTCATAAATGATGTATGATCTTTGTAATAATTTTGTTATGTGCATCTAGATAATTTAAAGCAGGATGTCAGAACAGTTTGTGGGTTGTACAGTTTCTGTAAAGTGTATTGAAGAAGTTGGAACTTATCAAGGGCAAATAGTGGACTTAAATAAGGATTGTATTATACTTTCAAAAGCTTTTTGTAACGGGGTTCCTCATAGCTCACCTATAGTCGTATTATGGTATTGTTTAGCAATGATTTAATTTCATTAGAAATAAGAACATTGAACGAAATGCATACATTTAAAAACAAAATATTTGTAAATATTTTAGTGCAAAGGATATATTGAACGTGGAATTTATATCAATCAATGATAAAGGATTCAATACTAATGATACAAGATATAATGTAAGTGACCACAATCAAGCACAGAACAGTGTCACTGTAAAGAGACCTATTGCCAAAAGAGTTGGTAGATCATTCTCTGAAAGTGTTTCATCTTCTGTTCAATCCACATCATCACAAACACAAAGTAATTTTAAAAAGCCAAATAGTAATTCTCAGTCTACTTTAGAACAACCTACCAATGGGAAAATTTCGTTAGGTAGTAAAATTAATTTCTTTTTTTTGTGCTAAATAAATATCAAGCATTGTTGATGATAATGTTCTCTTTCAGCTGAATCTGTTGATAAACCAATGCAAAAGAAATTAAGTAGTAAGCAGAGAAATGAGCACACATTTGGTACTCCAATTGATCAATCTTTAAATCAAGACTTTGATTTTGAGAAAAATTTAGCCCTGTTCGATAAAGAGGTCTGTTCTTTTCTTCTAATAGTAGTTCATTGAACTAGTTCACTAAAATAAAATACTTTTTACAGGCTGTGTGGCAAAAAATAAATTCTTTGAAATCTAAGAAACAAAAACAATTAAATTATAGGCATGATGAAAATGTTATTGTTTCTGAACGTGCAGATGTTAAACAAATATTAGTACCCAGTGCTGGTGAAGTAGAATATGTAACAGACAATGGTTTAATAATTCCTAGTATAACGCTTAACCTTCATCGTCAATTAATAGGAGCAGCAGATAGACTGGGTATTAGTTGGGAGCGTAGAGTATGTAAAGTTAAAGTATAAAAAACTACATTTATAATCTTGTTGGTAAATAAAACTCATTTTAAAAATTAGGTAGAACTTCTTGGCCGTGCTGGTGCAGAAATTATATTGCAACTATTAGGAGGAAGTCATCGACTTAATCCAAATAATGCACATCAGTGGCCAACAATTATTGCACTTTGTGGACCTCATCGTTCTGGCGCAGCAGGCGTTAATTGTGCTAGACAATTGTCTACTCATGGCATTAAGACAATAGTGTTTGTAGAAAATTCTGAAGATGTTTTTCTTCTACAAGAATTATCTTTGTATAAATTAACGGGAAATAAGGTAGAAACTAAATTTAAAAACTTACCATCAATGGTGGATTTAATACTCGTAGCACTTTGTGACGAAAACTCACCAAGAATGATCACGCCTATAGCAAAATGGGCAAATAATAATAGGGCACCTATTTTAGCTATTGAACCACCAGCTACAGGAACGCCTGGTATTCTTAGTAAATGTAGTCTGCTTGGTGGATTACCATTATCTCATAGTGTTGACAATGGCAAATTATATTTATGTAATCTTGCACTGCCAAACGAAGTATATGCGGATGTTGGTATAACATATAGGTCTCCTTTTGGACCGAAATTTGTCATTCCTTTGCATTCCAATAATTCTTAGCAAATTTATAAAAAGGATGATATTTCTAATAAAATGTTATAATTTAATATAATTTTAGTTATATGCCTTGCTAATATAAATTTATACTTAAATCGCGAATATTTGCCCGAATTTAGAAAATAAAAATCATGTATAATGTAGCATTTAATGTTATAAAGTTCAAGCGTAGTTTGTGTATAAACAGTTATAATTTGGTGTGCAAAGGCAATTGTGTGTAATTGTTCTTTTAAATGTGTAAGTATACAGTGTATACAAAATTAACATACAAATGATAAATATACAGTGTTTGGTTTTGTAAGTTACATAAACAAATAAATGCTTTTAAATAAACAGAATAAATTCAAGTAAATCTAGTATATCAATTTTTAAATATTACAGAGTATGAGAATTTTACAAATATTACTCATACATTTTAATACATATGTTGCTTCCTACTATAAGTATATAATAAGTACATAATATTACAAGTATATGATATTCTTTTTACAAAATAATATAATCGTACAAATTTCAATTTTTCATTTATAATCAAGAGTAGACATTAATGTTGACATTTAAATAAACCATTTTTTAAGTAAATTCAGCCTAAAGAAATTATTATATTTATAATTCGTGATAGATAAATTTATGTTTACATATTTTTTTACAATATTTAGATCTTTTTTTAGTTTCTCTTTATAAATTTCTCTTTGTAAAATACAGGTTAAAAAAATTTTATTTTAATGAAACATACTTGTGTTATTATGTCCATGTTTACCGAATGATGTACGAAATATGGTAGCATAATTCAAATAGTTAGTTGTAAAAAAATAGTTGTATAAGATTTATTTTAATCATAGGTAGCCTAAGTAAATATAAGTTATTTATATTGTACATGTAAATATATATTTATATATTTTGAAATTAGTCTTGATATTTAATATGATGATAAATTCTATAAGTAACACCAATGTAATTTCTTTTAGTATTATTTGCATTACTTTGAGTGGATTTAGAAATAATATAAAAAAATATATATATATAAGATATAGAAAGCAAGCAATGAAAAAATTAACATTAATGGTATTGTATCTCTTTTATTTTTTATATCTATTGTTTGTCGAATTTTTACAATAATTCTATTAATAAAATAATATATTTTAGTAAATAGTATAATAGTTAAATTACAGAATTATAGTTTACATAATCAACTATTAATTAAAGACACTTTTTATACTTGCTATCAAGTATCATTATAAATGCAGTGCAAATTAACATACTTAAATTCATTACAAAAATATTTCGATACTCTAGTTCAGCTCAAATTAACGTTAAGCACATATTTTCTAATAATTAAAATCTATAAACACTTGTACTAACTCAGTATTATCAAATACAATAATGCAATAATTTCATAAGATATTTGAAACTAACTTTAATCTGAAAGTATTTTTTCTTTTAATTTGAATTAATTTTTATATACAATAGTTAATCCTTAGTTTTATTATTTTTAGCTAAGTTTAGAAATTGAACTGTCATATGATGTTTGTTTGGAAGAAGTTTTGTTTCCACAATTCTAAAATAGTTTATTATATAATAATAAATTTATCACTAATAAATATAATAATTAATTTAGAATGACATAGAATTAAATATACTTTGTCTCGAAAAAAATCTTAATTCAATGATTTAGAATTGTGAAAACAATTAATGCCTAATGTTCTCATTATTTATCAGTCACAGGATCTATTTTCAATCTTACTTATTACGGATAGCCATTGGTAATATGAATAATCATGACTACAGTTCTATCTTATTAAAAATACTTCATATATTTACATTCATAATATATTCGTCGTTTCAGAAGAAACAATGATACATTCATGAGATTTCATTACCTCTCGATTTACATGTTATCTAAATCGGTATTTAATTAAAATACTTAACTACACTAATTGAACACTAAACTTAAAATTGACCTCGTATTGTTTGAGGCATTATTTTAATTTCAATTTCAATTTTTATTTTATAATATGTCTAAAAAAATATAATTACTACATTTATATTGCAATTCCATTTTTTATTATAAATTTCGTTTATTTAAAAAGTTAGGAAGTTGTGGTATTGTTTTAACGTCTAAAAAATAATTACAGCAATATACGTTAGCACCTTGCAACAGTTATGTAAGAATTCTTACACGTATTCAGCCTCAATCAAAATATATCTTAAAAGTACATAACATACATTTGCATTATTTTTTAATTAAATATTGTTTTCATAATTCAAAGAATTTGTAACTGTACATGATCAAAAATTTAAACATTGATGCAATAATGCAAATTATTTTTGTTTTACACATCAGTCACGATAAATAACAGTAGTTTAATAATTTAAAAATATAACCACTATACACATAAAAATTATTAAGTATTATAGTCTATGATTTATGATTTAAATCACTTAAGATTTAAATTTAGTAAATCAATGAAGTAAATCAATGAAAAGCTGCTAGATTCATATTATTTAATAGAAACTTCATTATGAAGTCCAACATTCTTTTTTTTTTAATCGAAAAATATGTTTTATATTTCTTTTCAATATGAATTTACTATATAAATAGTTATAAATGACGAAATGTTTCCTTATCAACATTTCATCAATAAATATAAATTGTAATATACATTATCTTTGTATCAGATTAATTTACTTTTAATTCTGGTATTTCTGCTTTTAAATCTTCTGTTATTAAATCTTTTAAGTTACTATCACTTTTACTATGAAAAGCGAAAAATGCACTCCATAAATGATGAAATATTTTTTTCATATCCACTGCGCTTTCGTCATTTAAATTTGGCAATTACGTCATTTTAAAAATGTTTCTTAAAATCTTACTTAAATATACTACGGTACAAATACATGCATTCCATTATTAATTGTAGCAGAATATAGTAGTTGAATATAAGTTCATATGCCTAATATTTTTCGGTGTATGTAGAATTTTTTTCAAGACTATTCTGCTGTAATTTTTTATATTTTACAATATGTAACTGTTAAAAAACAATTCTCATAGTGATTATACCATACCTTATACATCTTCGTAAAAAATTGCGCCAGTACTGACTGGCTCTTATTGCGTCTCCCTAGGATGCTGGCGTAGGATTAGCAGTCGGTGGTACAGCATTTGTTTGTTTCGCTCGTCTTCGTTTGTTTAATAACGCGTTATTCGTGTGATCCAATTGTTTCAAATTGGCTGTATCGTAGTCTACACGCATTGTAGCTAAAGAGCGTGTCATTTCTTCTTGAACTTCTGGCCAAAGTTCCTCACCTTCTCGGAGTACACGGCCAGTATGTAAAGGCGTAGGAGGTACTTCCGTATATTGCTATATATAAAGTATATGATTTATATTTATGGCCGTATAACGTATATCTTGATCTTGACAGTGAAGAGAAAAACTCTTACGGCAATCCATTTGTTGCGCATAACGTCGTCAATTTGAAGTCTTTGAGCTGGATCTGTACACAACATACCCTTGATAAGATTCTTTGCCTCAGTGCTTACGTTAGACCACTCAGGGGCTGGAAAATCGTATTGGCCTAATCGAATTCTTTTTTTCATTCCCGGTGAAATTGCTAAACCATGATTACTGTAGAAAGGTGGAAAACCACATAATCTAAAATATTATAAAATATTATAAAAAGGTATATATAAATTTACAATATATAAATTTATTTATAAATGATGATTACTTACAGTATATACATTATAACTCCAAGTGACCAAATATCACAGCTTTTATCATATTTTTCTGGTCCCAGAACTTCAGGAGCTATACACCCCAGAAAAATGTTTGTTTTATCATTTTCATACATTTAAATTTATTAGGAATAAAATTTGAATTTTAAAAACTTACCAACATAGTATGGTGTATAACATGGGGTTTGTAATGTATCTTTCATATGAGTTTCTTTCGCAAAACCGAAATCAGTAAGTTTTAATATCCCAATACTATCTAAAATCAAAACAAGCAATTTGTTTATAAATTTAGATTAATGAATATTAAACCCTTATACGATTCATTTATACATGATTTTAATATAATTATTTACATACCAGGTTTAGAATACAAGAGATTCTCTGGCTTAAGGTCCCTATGTGCAATGTTCATATCATGCAGGTGTTTTACAGCAACACAAATTTCATACATAATTTGTGCAGCTTCTATAAAGAAAAAAGAAGAAAAAGATTGTATAAGATCATCAAGAAAATGTATTAAATTTATAAATTTATTTTAAATAAACCACTAATTTAGTTTAATATACCTCTCTCTGTGAAAGCACCATCTTGTCTATCTTGTATTCTTTCAAATAGCTCTCCTCCTTCCATGCTAAAAATTGATTAAACTTATATTTAATATCATCTGGATAATCATCTTTTAATTAAAATAGAAATTGAGAAATTTACCATTCCATAACAACTAACAAACATTTATTTCCACTATATGTGTTTTCATATACATCTTTGACTTGCACTATGTGCCTGCAATTTGATGCTCTCCAATGCAATTCAACTTCCCTTCGTGCCTTTACACAATCATACAGTACCTACAAACATAAAATCGTACAGAAATCAGCATTATAAATTCAATAGTTTCACACATAGTAATTACACAAAACGTACAGAAATTTCAAGACTATACAATTTACACGTAACCTTGAATAAATGAGATGATGTAATCTGTTAAGATAAAAGCGAACAAACATTAGATGTAAGAATTTAGTGACTTGCAATAACGTAAAGTATTGTACAATTTTTAACAGGAAAAAGAGTATATAACGAAACGTATGAAATCTTGAATAAGTTTTTCGGAAGATTTATATACACATATATTCGCTTTAAAAATCGCTGGTGAATGACCTAAAAACAGCTGACTTCGTCATCAAATCGATAAAACTTATTGCATTATACAGTGGTTCGCGACCTAACATTCTTAAGTTATGATAGTCTGAAATCGATAAATATAACGTAGTTTTAAAATACGGCAAATGTTTCTAATTTACTAAGAGAACTGCCTTTATTTTACACCATCGGATTAAAACATATGATTAATACGTAATTTATATGTAATGTAAATTTGAAAATGAAAGACATTTTATATCTATACATACATAAAATAACAAAGAACATTACTGTTGCAAAATATATGTACGTGTACAACTGAACGAATTGGCACGAGTAACTTATCTAACGTTACAAAATCGTTACTGGCACAACATAAATATCATTTATTTCAGTATAATATTTCAATTTGTTACAGTATAATTTGTTACTTAACTTTATATAAATATAATGATATTATTATTAATTAAAAAATTGTTATTTTACATTAAATTTAAAGCTTACAATATTCTCGCGTGATTCTACGCAAGTTCTAAAAAGTGTGGTAAAGTTGTGAAATAAAAAAAGAAGTCTCACAGCTGAATCGTATTTTTAGAGTGTCGAATACATACATTCGGTTCCAGAATTGTTTAAATACGATTAAAACCTAAGAATCACGCTTGAAAAAAGTAGAAATCAGTTTTAACTTGAAGTAACGATCTTGAAGTAAAATCTTTGCGAAAAACTTACGTAAGAAAATACATGGAATTGTACACATTTAATCGTAAGAAAATTATATAATTAAAAATCTTGTGAATTCGATTTTTAAGCTCTTGAGTTTTCAAATTTCCGAAATTCTCGAATTTATAAATTTAAATGTAAATTCTCAAAAAAAAATGAAAGATCAATTTATATGTAAGTCAGTTGAATTGTTAACGAGCATGCACTGTTTTTTCATGATCGTTTGTCGGCCTCATTCTCAAATGAAAATACATTGGTCATATGCTCACGAGCCGTGATAATGCGATTAGCGTTAGCACAAAGTGACATTTCTATTGTTACGACGACATACAAATGAACTCGCGGAATTATCATTAATGGGCACCATGATCGGATTATATTCATCAACCTGCAGTTGATCCATTTGTGATGCAAACATTCGGAATTACTCTTTTTTTCTCTTAATCAAACTTACAACACTTACAATGAAAAGGGATTATTTTTATAAATTTACGAATAAAAAGGTATTACTTTTATAAATTTACGAATAAAAGGGTATTATTTTTATAAATTTACGATTAAAAAGGTATTATTTTTATAAAAAGAATCATTCGCAAACGATATTTCTGTCAGTGATTTCCTGTTATTGAGATTCCACTAACTGATCGCGGAGAGATACACAAACCGTTCCTCCGCGCACGAACTAACAAATAAAAATTCAAGTATTCGCGGAATGCCAGAGCCAAGGCGAAGAAATGTAAAATAGTGGTCGACAACGACAACTGTCAAAGCAAGAGGTAATCAATCAACGAAGCTAAATGTGTAACAAAAATGGTTTGCAACATTGGCCTCACAATAATCCATAAATATTGATTGCTTTTCGTAACTGTGAAGATCTAAGAAGATCAAACGCATGGAAAACATAATTCCTACTAACTTTCTCTTCGAGTACACATCAAGATACTGTTTCTTGAATGACCAGAATCTATAGCTACGTCAGTGCCCCCCTTTCAAACAAGCATTGCATTCTACAAAAGTCATTAATTTAATTACAATCATAAAGACATAATAAGTATAGCCAGTGCGATTTAATGATAATTAATGTAAATAGACAGCAAACGCATCGATCGATTTCTCATCAGTTTCATTAAAGAATAATAATAAAAGTTCAAGGGAAATGTTCGAAGATTGATATAAAATGGATAAATTACGAGTCTGTGACTGTCGAAGTGATAGAATTATTACTATCGGACTTCTTCATAGTTGCACAGCATAATTTAAACGATTTTGCTGACTTATATGGCTCGTTTCCAATCTTTCGTTTCTGATAAATCGATCTAGCTAATGGATTGCTAACAGTTAAATTTGCTAGATATGTACTAATTTTAAATCAACTTTTATGGAAATCTCAAAAATCTTTCTTTTTATTTACATTTTTCTGTTAAAACAGCGACATGTATATATATATATTTACGAATCAAATTCGTACGACGTTTTCATATTGCATAAAAAAAGGGGGAGAAAAGAAATTGATATTTTTCAACGTCTACTGATAGTTGACTTATGGCAAGGAAAATATTCTAACCCTTCAACGCTGGATTGATATCTCCGGTAACATTAATAATACTAATGTAATGCAGGCATGAGATCACCGATACTATATAAATAATGACATATTTTTGTTGGAGCTTATCAAGCTATTTTTGTTCATACAGTCAGATGTATATATGTACATCCCCTATCTACACATATTGCCACAGTGTTTTACTCTTTTGTGCGTAGGAAAAGAAGTATAAGTTATTGTCAGAAAAGATGTAAATTAAATTGATAAAAAAATAAGCAACAACGTGTAAATATTTTATACTTTGATATTTTAAGGAAAATATATATATAGTTGATCCATCAAAATTCATTTCTCTTTCTAACTTTTAGTAAACATGTATTGTTAACAACAGAGAAATTATTAAGAAACAGATCGTTAGTTAAATGCGCACGTGTTACACGTATGACGTCGCGCGATCCACATAATCGGTCGTTGACATTCTACACTCTACACACATCTATACGTAATAAATAATATGGATTTTCTTTTAATATTCAAAAATTGATGAAATCACTCCTAAAATAATTATTTTAATTACTTTGTCCAATATTTAGCATCGATACACAACAAGACTTCACGATTCATGCAACGTTTATATTTGTAATTATGTTTTAGATTTGGAGTCTCGTCAGAATTGCTCGTGGAATGCAAGAACAACAAAACCAAACGCGCGAAAAGGCGAAAAAAAAATAGGAGGATTCTCAAAATTTTCCCCGATACGGCACAGGGAAAAAGTAAGAGAGGCGAATAGACATCGGAGCGATACACACCGCATGGTCGGAATCGTTGAATGGGAAATCACAGAGTATAAATAGAAGATGACTCGCTGGACTCGCTTGGACATCGTTAGTCGATGATCATACTTCAACACTGCTACGTATCGATACATGTACAACAATAAATGTGTACGTCGTTGACTGGTCACGATTGGGGGACCTTGTCTGGCCAGTTATCGAGGCACGTGCATACGTTTCCAAGAAATCCGAAAAAGTCTCTCGGAGTGGAGGTGAAATAAGAATATCAGATACATTTGTTTGTTTTTCCATACGTAATGGCCAAAAGTGCATTCGTGAAATCAGTTCCAAGAACTGGTGGAAATAGCAACTTAGTCAATTAACGGCAAAATGCTGGACAAACGCTGGACACTATTGTTTATCTTTGATCGATTGATGCATTCATTCGCAAAGATGTTCATTTTTTTTTTTCCAAAGGAGATATTATCTTTTCGCGTATTCCAAAAATAACCAAGGCCAGATGTGTCGCGTTACATTTCACAAGTAAAAACATTTTCTTTTTTTTTTGTTTTTTTTTTTTTTCAATGTTCGCCGATAGTAGTCAAAACGTTTGTAAAATCCTGTTACGTTTATCTCGATCGGTGTAACAACGCAATCGAACAGCAATATAAAAAGTTAACGTGGCTGAGGTTCTCTATCTACACGTATCATGCTGCCTGTGTGTAATCGGTGTTCAAGCACGACGTTTTATTGTCCGTGCGTGAAATTTTAATCAAGTCTCACCCCGGGTAATTTCGTCTCGTACGCTAAGAAAACATGGGTTATCTCGATCGGGTGTTATTACACCGTAATATATGCGTATTGTCATTTTCATAAACAAGGGGAGAAGGAAAAAGAGCCACGATTATTTCCTCGAGCGATCTTTCTTTCACGTTTGGCGTTTCATTAATACCAAAAGCTTTTTACATGTGCGAAATGATGGACTTTGACAAGAGAGAAGCATTGGTCGTTGATCTCACCTTAAGCGCGTATTTCTCCCTGGTGTTTTTGTCATAACACTGGACAACCTTCCCGTTTATTCCAAGACCGAGTACGTGATTGCTAATTTCATAGTCGTCGGTGATCGGCGTGACTTTTGGTAAACGGGCGTCGCATCTTGTAACCGTGTGTTCCATGGTCTTTCGTTTGGTTTCCGCGACCGAAACCTCTTTGTCTTTTGTCGACACCTCCTCGATCTCTATTTCCGCTGCTCGTTTCCTCTTTCCTTTTTTATTCTCCTCGTTCTCCTCGCCGACGGGCCTCTTGCACTTTCTAAAATGGTAATCAATCGTCAGTCACGTTCTCGTTTCATGGAGTAAGAAAGATTCGATATTTTTCTCTTTCTCTCTTTTTAACGTATATTTTATATATATATATATATATATAAAAGAAAAACGTGAATGTACCGACAGTATAAATATACAGAGCAAATTGAAACACTTCATGGAAAATGCAGAAAGGTACACGATTTGACTAACAATGAGACACTGACTTGATAAGAAAAACTCAGAACGATAGCAATATTTCGTACTGACGCATGTGAGTGCGCCACGCGAATGATAATAGTATATACGTACAAAAATATATATTGTTCGTCAACAAAACGCTATTTTATCGCTCGCATCGGCGCCTATTTTATCTTTGCGGGTTACCGACGGAACCTGGTTTATATCCTGGTTTACATTTTCAAAGCGTGAACTCTATCTCTGTTGCGATCCACGACGAATCAAACTGCGACACACATATGGTCGTATCAGAGAGAGTTACACATTACAAATTCTTCGCTATCTAACGTTGAGTCTATCGGCTGATTAATCGCGACACGCTGCGCGATTACTCACACGTTATTATATATATATATATTATCGAATTGATAGTGCGATAAAAGAAATATCGATGTCTGATTTCACATACGAGTGTAATTTACGTAATTTACGTAATGATTAAGTTTTTAAATTTGTAGAAAAATATTAACGTGACAAATATTAAAATTACAGTAAGATCTCAATTAATCATCGGAGGGGGGGGGGGGGGGAAACAAATAGACAACGTGGATAATCAGATTTTGTACAAAATTTGTTTGTACGTGTGTTCGTTGAGTTTTCTCCTATATAGTGACAGAAAACGACGATAATATATAAGGAAAGGAATTTAAATACGTAAATAAATATTATAAATTATAAATAAATATAGAAATTTAAATACAAATATTATAAATTATAAGTAAATATAAGGAAATTTAAATACATAAATAAATGATTCGAATCGAACGTACAGATATCTTGTAAATACAAGGTAAACGAAACTTCAGATAATTAAGACGAGATCCGGTTAATCGAGGTTCCACTGTAATTACTGTGCATAAAATTGACAAGAATATTGGATTAAATGTAGATTGTATGTAGTAATTAGTTATTTGATCAAGTTAATTTGCTTTATTATTTACAGGATATATTTAAACAAATTGTATACTCAACTGTACGATTGTATTGTACACATGCACAATATACTTAAGGTACTTAAATACGTGCACACCTCTATGTATTACACAACGACGTTCAATCGATTGCGGTAAAATTGCATATACGTATGTATGCATAGTTCAACGCACATGAATGGCGCATTTTCAAATCGTCAATAGGCTATCCTAAATCGAGTACGTCGAGTACGCGTTAACTTCAATGATGATCGATACACTCAATAAAACAACAGAAACGAGCGATCCGTAAATAAGAAAAAAGCAAAAAAGATAAAAAAAAATCAAAAGAGCAAAAACTTCGTAAAAACAGGCTTAAAAATCAATCGCGAATTTTAATCAGCGCCAGATATTTGTGCATAATATGCAATTGTTATGATTGCAACGGGCGAAGACGTACGATTGATGAGGTATTATGTTCATTGCGTGTTCGAAGTGAAGAGCTGGCGTTATCGTATATAAAGATCAGTTCGATGATTATGTATTTCATTCGACTCGAAAAAATTGTCGTCGGTAATTATTTTATTCGCTTGACAACGAGAAAGTAAAATATAGTACAGAGACTGTGGATATTTATGCGTTTGAACGTATCGAAACTTTAAAAATATATAAGAAAGTGTGAAAGTGCATAAGATGTTCGAAATAGATAAAATAAATTTCTACTAATGTCCAATGTTTTTTTTTTTCAGTTATGCGATTCATAAAATGTATGACTCTGCATAAACATCCGCAGTCTGATAATGTGACAGAGACCTCCAGAACGTCCACTTGGTCGCCGATTTCGGCATTTGTGTAGCTTTTGTTTTTAACGTTTCGAGATATATTTAATCGAATCGTGTTGCACGAAGACAAAAAGCATCGCCTTCCGGGAGAGCCGGAAACTCCAAAAAATTCTCAGAGGTAACAGGTAACACTCAGTCAGGTAGAGTGGTGGTACGGATAAACGTGTGTGCGAGCTCCGCGTCGTTGAATAAAACAAGAATTTGTCTGTTAATCGTAACTCAAAACTCGATATCCAAAGAATAATCGCACAGAGAGGCAGAGGAGGCCAGCTGAAAACCGAAGATAAAAAAAACTAATGAAACTCATCCTCAAATAATGAGACTGATGATTGTTGATGAAAAGAAGCGTGCAAAATAAAAAAAAAAAAGCAATTGTCAAAAAGCAAATACAGTTTTACATGTGTGCGTGTATATGTGCATGTATATGTAGGTATGAAGGAATACGGATTCAGAGTGCGAGTTTTTTAAACGCTTCTGTATAATGAATGATTAAATCGGGTTTCTGTTACGCAAGTTACACAGCCAAAGATTCATGAAATTGCCAATATAAAGATAATGAGAGGGACAGAGCACAAGATGGATTGTCGAAGATCTATTTGCATAAACGCATCTGCACCGCCAAAAATTCGCCATCTATATCTTATCGAGATTTACTGGACGATTTACTGAAAATAGCGGTGGCGTATGACGTGCGCAAACAATATAAATGCATCAAAGACAAACTGAAAATCAGGAGAAAAACCAGTAAGATGGCATGATTACAGAATGGTAATTACATTGGTTGTCTTAACGTACTTACCTGGTGACGTCTGCTTCTTCAAAATTCAATTTCCCGCCATGAAATGATATATCGTATTTCAAACAAAGAACACCACTGTTACAACATTTTATATTTCACACTGTCATCGGAAAACATTCAATTAATATTTCTTCTGAATAATTTCTGCTACGATACGTCATAACACTGAATCATAATTTATATTGTGAAGATATTAAAAAATTAAAATTAACGTTCGCGAATGTACGAAACGCAACTTTCCTTCTCTTTTCGCTTGTTTCACATTAAAAAAACAAAAAAAAAAAGAAAAGAAGTTCCTCCGAGGTGTGTCACGCGATCAAATGGTCAGAGAGATCGGAATACTTGGTCTACCTGTCGTAGCCGGTTTTAGCGAGTATTAAATTATTTGGTGACGCTGTGGAAACCGATTTTTCTTGCAGTGAATAACGTAATAGGGGAAAAAGTTAATCAAACGATGCTTTCCATGCCCATACTTTCCGTGCATTCGACCGACCACTACTGAACTCAAGTCCACTCAACGACTCCGACTTTCATACGAAAAACCAATTCACAAACACTAGTAGATAAAACGGCTATGGCGGTAAAGCGCCTCTACAAGCAATCTTAGGATGTGACTCATTGCACAGGGACGACTCTATGCTGCGATTTTTCGGGTACCGTTTCGAGCATTTTGAAATTCTTCCGCGATTTTTTTAGTGAAATTCTTTTTTTAATTTATTATCTTAAGATAATGAGGATGTGAGTAAATAAAACAGTCAATACAAGCTATCATTTATTTATTCGTTTTTTTTTTGTTTTTTTTTATTAGTTTACATTATACTACAATATATATATACACATAATTTTTCGATGTAACAAAACTGAAGGGGCATCTTCAGGTCTCTTGCTTTTTTATTACTTGGGTAATTACAAAATTATTACATTTAATATAAATATTTCTCTTTCGTAGGCACATCTTATATTTACATATCATTTTTAATCGTATTGTCCATTAAGTATTTTATTAAATAAAAATTGTATCACACAGGTATATGAATGCCAAAAGATAATTTTCATTTGCAGTTTGTTATTGAAAAAAAATTGAGATAACTGTAAACAGAAGAAGCGATGGATAAGTTTTTTTACAAATAATTCTAGATAATATCTATGATGCTACAAAACTAAATTATTATCAGTATTATCATTATTGGTACAATACACCATTGTATCGTTTCATAAAAAAATTCACTGTTACACATAACAAACAACATTATGTTTGTACATAACATATATGTACTATTGATATTTACTAAAAATTACATCAGATTTTAGTCAAGTTATAATTTACAGAGATATTTGTAAAAAGAACATATTGTGGTTTAATCTTTGGATTATCGAATTAGAGAAAATGTTTGTTTAACTAAATATTACACATTGTTAGAAATATTGTACTTGTTACTTATACTTATTAGTTACAAAAATTTTTATGGAAATCTCAACTAGTAAAACGTTTTTATGAATATTAACAATCGTGAATAATTCAACAATATTTAACGATTCGTTACAATATTGTTCGAAGAAAATATAGATATTCTAAATATTATTAATAACATTAAATACACAAAATTATCCTAACAGTACTAGTACTAATTTAATTTCACAATTTTCAAGCACATATAAATAATATATGTACCTAAATCTATTTTCTACTATATGAATATAATTACAGTTAACAATGAAATATAAAATGTACATTTCATTAAGTAAACGCATTAACTTGTAAGTAGTATTATTTTTCATAAAAAATATACACTTATTGTCAATTTTGAAGTAACTAATACTTCATGCATAATAAACGAAATATTTATATAAAACTTTAATTTCCTTTTTGTTGAAAATAAAATAGGTTTGTTGATTATTTTCTCGTTATTCTTTATTTTAAATTTTGCATACGTTAATATTATTGCACAGTATTTTTTTTTTTTTTTTCAAGAAAAATTTTAAATATGATCCCTTTTTTTTTACTTAATCTACAATAAAACACAGTCCAGAAATATACTGTATTTATTATGATCAATCTCTAAAAAAATAAGTAAAATGTGTGCATATGCCGACTCTTTTTTAATAAAATAGAAAATTACAATGAAATATGTAATTCGTTTGTACTAATACTTATACTGAACTATTCCTTTTACTATCAAAACTAAAAATTAGTGATTTTTGTCGGACGGAAAAATGCAGCGGTTATAAAGAAATAATGTAGTTAATGTTTTGATTTCTTTTAAAATTTTAGTATGTATGCAACCAAAAAAAAATTTTAATTGTTTTCTTATATTTTCTAATTTTCCAGTACTTTTATATAAAAATAATTGTAATAATTTAATTAAGAATTTGTATATATTGATGAAATATACGATTACTAATTCGATCTAGAGCTATCTTTCTGCACTATTAATAAATTATAATTATGATAATATTGCCCCGCATATTTTTTTTATATTAAATGCCAATACAAAACTTTCCAAGTATATATTTTTATTTAAAAATTCAAAATTAAAGCTTTCCATCTTATATGAATTTTGATCAAATGATCATTGAAATGAGATATTGCAATGTTGTTTGTAATTTTTGTGAAAGGATAAATTTATACTGATAGCAATGATAGTAATATTACTTTTAGTAAAAAAATATACTATCATTAACGTTTTATGCAAGACAAAAAGTTTTGTATATCAGGCATTTTGTCATTTTTTATTTATAATAAATAAAGAAAGTTAAACATCAAAATATTGTAAACTAGATATTACATCTGATTAACAAGTTAAAATACAGCTACCCTGAGTTTTAACAGCTTTAAAAAAGAGGCATGTGAGAAATAGAGATAGAAAGAGAGATTATAATTCTTTTATGAAAAATAAAATTCGACATTGCCTCGTTACATTTTTCTCTTTTCCTTTCTCAATGTATAAAAATATTTAAGGCATTCAATGCTAACGTTTATGTATGTATGTATACATAATATATATTTATAGATATCACTGTTTTAGGTCACGACTTACATTGCACAATTAGTAATTGTCACCCCATATGACTTTCAGGTTCAGCTTTGTAATCTTGCATAGTAAGAATATAAGGCACGACACTAGCTACGCTTACTCTACCAATAAGACCTGCAAAGAACAAATCTTCCAGAACCCTAGGGTTAATTGAACGAAGTGGTGCAAGCCTTAAAAGAAGGCGAGGTAACCTGTTGGATTCTGTACGCGTTTGTAATTCTGACCACGCAGCTTCTTGTAAAACTTCAACTTTTTTACGCCACATATCGGCTAAGACATTGTCTAAAAAAAAAAATCACTTTGGAAATAGGCAAATTTTTAACAAATGCACCATTCTTTACTTACCAGGACTAAAAAGTGTCAATGCTTTAAGATACGCGTATTCAACGGAATCCACTTGTAATTTATGAAGTGAACTAACACAATCTTGTAGTCTACATATATGCTCTGTGACAGACTTTACTTTATTAGCTGTAATTTTTTCCTGTGCAATGCTAGCTTGTAAATGATTTATAATTGATGTTAAAATACTTGGAAGGGATAAAGTGTATGCACACTGTGCAAGGCCTAAAGTAAAGAGTTGTCCCCAGGAACTACGCACTAATGTTGTTTGAATTTCAGATCTGCAAATATTAATAATTTTATTCAATAATTATATTTACGCGTATAATATTAATTAGTAATTTCATGCTGTTTATTTACGGTAACGCTTGAAATGCTGGAATTCCTCGGGCCCAATGAACTGACAAAAAGAGTAACCTAGCGGCACTTTCGCAAATATAATGAATTGATAAGTACGCAGGAGCTGGACTAGGAGCTCTTAATTCGAATAACGTATGTCTTTCAGAAATTAATTGGCCAGTCCATTCTTCTTCTGGTTCACTTGAACCGTTGACACTCTATAACAAAATTATATAAAAATCACGAAAATATTAATAAAGTGTACCATCTGATACAAATGAAACATACATCTCCAATAAGTTTAGCCATGCTATCCAATGCATGTGAAATAAGTAAACGTTCTCTTGCTAATGTTAATGCATCACTGAGGTCGCTATCACTGCTTTGGTCTTCCATACTAGGACTTTCAGGTTGTTCCCAAGTTGAAGGCGTTTCCGACACTGATTGCTGCGGTTCTGGTTTAACCCTAGGACTTCTATTTCCTACTTTTGTTCCCGCTGATTCACCTAATACTGGTTTCCTCTCATGTTGAACAGCTATAATATTATAGCATTGTATGTTAAAACAATTACGTGAAACAATCGAATGTTACATTTAGTATTTTAAATGAACTTACAATCACTTCTCATTCCCATTGCAAGACATTTCTGAAGCCTACAATACTGACACCGATTTCTATGGTGTTTGGTAACCTCACAACTTTTACTTCCTCTACATTGATAACCCAACTGTTTCCGAATACTGCGTTTGAAAAATCCTTTACAACCTTCACAACTTATTGCTCCATAATGTCTTCCACTAGCCCTATCCCCACAAACCACGCATAATTCTAACGATAGTCCCAAACCTAAAGAACCACGGACGTCTCTCGCTAATTTTACCTGAAAAGATAATAAAGTATGAAACATATAAAAAACTATGAAAAATTCGAATAATAAAATTACGAAATAAATAGACGAAAGTTCTACCTCTACATCAACATTATTCAAATGCTCAATCCCAGAATGCAAGTGAACCATGGCTGCATGAGGTGCCAAATTACGAAAATCTCGTCCCATTTTGTGATCAACTTTGTCATCGTGTATATTATCCACATGATTATTCTGATCTCTATCCATATCTCTCTAAAAGTATATAATATGTTACATGATTAATAAAAAGTATTTTGATAGTAAGAATTTAGTTTCTTAATTTTTGTGAAAATTAATACAGTGAAGCGCACCATGGCAGGATGATGCGTTAAATTATGAAAATTCCTTCCTACATTTTGATCCAGTTTATCATCTTGTAAATTTTCACTGCGATCATTTTGATCGATTTCCATATCACGCTGCAACAAAAATAAAAAGCTCGTTGTTATATGTTTTCAATTTTTAAACATTCAAGTTATAACAAAAAATTTTCATATTATAGAAAAAATAAGTACCTCTGTTTCAACATCGGTTACGTGGTCCACACCATGATGACGAGATAAATTACGAAAATCCATTCCTATTTTTCGTTCTTCCTCGTTTTCATTTAAATTATCGTGATCGTGTTGTTTCCTATGCTCTCTGTCCATTTCTTTCTACAAAAATAACAAATAAAAATACTTATTATATAAATGTACAATGATTTATAAAATATTTCTTTAGTGACGTTACTAATATGTATGTTATATGTATCTTAAACGAACCTAATTACGTATCTGAAGAAATTGCGTACAGAATTCATAGATTAACATCACCTCGCTTTACTGATATATATCTTTGAAAGAACAATGATAATTTTACATTTATATTCAAATAAATACATAGTTAATTCGACATTTCTCTCACAATAACCAGAATCTTTTTGTACAATAATTCACCAAGTAATAATATTATAGTGACAAATACATTTCAAATAATTTTTATAATTTCATATCAACTAGATTGATCAATTAGTTTACGATCTGTAATATTCATTTTTAGCAGTCTGCTCGTTTGCAAGAGAACTTGTAACTTGTAAAAAAAAAAAGAAGAAAAAGTTTTAATTAAAATGAAGGAATGCATGAAAAAACGTTTTGTTTTTTCTATGAAGATTGCGTAACGCAGACATATCTAGGAGCATTACGTCGAATAGGATTGAATAAATCGTATAACATTCTGATTTGATCTAGGCAGATAGAACGTATCGTTTAAAGGCCTAAGCTTCGGCGCGGCATAAAAATGAAAACTGGAGCATTTGCCGCCCGCCCCTACCTGCCGCAACCCTTTCCCCCTACCATTTTAAGAAGTGAAAGAGATGGTCCCGAGTCTCGGAAGTTGTTCGGTTCGTAGGTTGCTACGTGGTTAAGCGCATGCCGATACCATAGCCATGCTACACTGGCTGTCATAGAGCGAATGGGTCCATTTCCATACACTCGTGATCCGACTTCGTCACCAGTATCAGTGCAGTAATATGAGAAAACGGTGCCTGTACCGTTGGCACCGAAATAGTTAACATTCTTGGAACCTTGCGTTTCGTTATGCACCTTACTACCGTAACCGTGCTCTCTCAACCTTTCTAATCACGACGGAAGCTTTCAACGGAAGTATATACAGCTACTTTCGAAAATACGTGTGCGATTTTTACAAATTCTTTCACTTGCTTTCAGAATCGGAACTCTCCTCTATACGGATCATCGCGACACGTATATGCGTGTACTGACAATACTTACTGCCCTATGATCAATAATACCACACGTATCTGATTTCACGGAAGTGTCATGCACGAGATCGAACGTTATACTATTTTATGATCAGGAATTTCACGACAGTAACGTGACACTTGTCTTTTTCTTCAAACTTGAGCCATTGACCCGTTTAGACACGTGTCACTGTAAACTGTTAACAAATATCGCGGCCGCCCTGGATCCGTCGTTTGCATTTCAACGATCGTATTCTTTTGACGATGTTGCGCGACCAGAAACAATCCGAAATGTATCATTAAATGGACGGATAGGCCCAATCTTAGTTGAGAAAGCATAAAATGTGTATCCAGAGCTATGAATTTTTTTTCTTTTTTTTTTTAGATAAATCCGTTCCTCGTAAATTTTCTGCGTTTCATACAAAGGTGAATGCTGTTTTAGAACTTGTTTTATGAAACGGGATTGCCTTTTCCTCGCACCGACCTTAGGAAAACGCGCGACGTGTCTTACATTAAAGTTCGAGGACGGTACGCACAATACACTACCTGTTGGGTCGACCTGTATCACCGCATTTGCGTGTGTCGGCGGTGGCGCTCTCACAGGTCACGCACGATTCTGAAAATATAACGTAGCTAGCCACGCGGTAATACGCGCGGAATATATGCTTGCGTACGCCGAATATAAGAGAGAACAACGTTTTAATAAATCGAACGACGGGAGGGCACGGGAAAACGACACGTTCGCGGTATACACGCGAAATCGTTTCACTCGATACGAACGCTTTCGTGCACAAAAACACCACGTCTGAAGTTTAAAGGCAACCTTGCGCAGGTGAACGCAGCCAGGCCGTTCGCTGTACTGGCAGGTTGGCAGGTCACTCTCTTGTATACCGCCAAGACACACCGGCCAGGTGCATTCTCGCCCCGCTTGCTTGCTTTTCTACCTGAGCGAGAGCATTCGCTGTGGAGGACCGCATAGTGGCCTCTCGTCGAGCGTTACAGGTTATGTCACGTAATACACGCCCGCGATGACTTATTGGTCGAGGCTCGAGGTCGCGACGTCGATCGAGAATAGGTCAAACACGAGTGGTAAAAATTTGTATTAAAAAAAAATTATTTATTATTACCCAGCGAATATTTGTTTTTGTATATCGAATAACGAATAACGAAGAAATTGTGTTTACCTCAACTATCTGTCGCACGTATGATTTTCTTTTCAGCTAAACTGAAATGCGATGTCCGTCACTGGCGTGAAATGTTTTTTTTTTTTAAATAACATATTGTATACGTTATAAAGCAAGAGGTGAGATGTTAGAAAATATTAAATCTCAATGATTTCTGCAATTAGAAATTTAGATTTTGTAGTAGAGGAAAAATAATAGAACTTTAATTGCGACTTTAGTGACTGTCACATCTCGAAGTGTATACTATAAAAAAAATAATATTTTATAATCCCGAATCCTGTAATTCTGAATGTATTTTCACTTTAAACATACGTGCCTTATATTTCAAAATAAAAATAGATTAAAATTCTTGATGAACTGCAAATACTTATATTTAGCATTAATTGTAATACTTTGTATCGAAGCAATACGGCAATAATAATTTTAATTTTAATTTATTAAAAATATTTATTAAAAGTACTATTTTTTTATCGATGAAATTAGTTTCCTTCAAATATGTTGACTTATAACCTTTCGATTGGTCATTTCAAGTCAGGCTAAAGATTTCTTGGAAGAGCATCAGCGAAGAAGAATAGTCATTCGAGAGTAATTATTTCTATACGACCGGACTTCACAGGTAAAGGTCGCTCGTGGGTCCGAAGGTTACCTCCTACCTATTCGATCACCGTATCGACATAGATTTATCTTGTAATCCTACTTGCTGCATTAAAATTGCATTACTAATCGCACATTATTCTTTTGTTTTTTTATTTATCCATAATCAATCTTTCGAATATTATGCGCAACGTTTTTCAAGAGAATTTATAATGACGTAAATGCTCATATTTTTAAAGATAAAAAGCAATAATATAGCAACATTTCAACATCACTTGAATTTTCTCAAAATTTTCGTTATTTTATTTATTTTCATTTCTAAGTTTCGCTTAACATACGAGAAAAATATTTCCTCCCCGAAAAACATACCCGAGAAGTTCGAATTAATCAGTGAATGCATAATATTAATTTGAAAATTCTTAAACAAGACAAAAAGTTAATAGCGAAGTAGCGTTATTATCAATAAAATTACAAAATCTCATAATGACAAAGTCAAAATAGCACATGATCACTGTTATTATTTATTAACTAACAATTTGACCGGAAAACTGAAAATATTTCACAGTATGTAATTTAGTAAAAGAATGCGCACAGATTGATTCGATGTGGACGAGTCAATGTTCAAGATTTCATGCATTATCGACAAAAGGATAACAAGAAACTGAATGTTAAAAGATATGTAATTTTTATAAAGACTTACCTTTGTTAGTAATAACGATGATAATTTTGACTACGCATCGTTTGGACAGTTCATAAGAACAACTAGATTTCGTCAACCATTCGTGGGTTAGAGTTCATAACCTCTTCTAACCTTTACCTTTTATTTACCTCCTTCCCCCCCACCCCCGTACCAAACCCCGCCAGTCACCTTTATAGCCACAAGACAATACATCTGCTGCCATCGATACGCCGTTGCATACAGATTCACGATGTCTTGCGGAATTTGTACGTCGCGCTAAATTCTCGGCAAGTTTAAGAACTGTTTTCAGGAAGTATCGCCATGATGGTAAAGGAAATTGTCATATAACCATTGACTAACGATAGAATAGATCAGACATGAAATAGGGATTTCGTATCAGAGTCTGAAATACCGACCAATTCACTACTTGACCAACCTCGATCGTTTTACTTAATGTAATTCCCCAATTCACCGATTTTTTTATTATGTCGGTATTTCAGATTTCCTGCCAAATCCCGTAAGATGCTAGGTCTATTCATATATAGTTCTATAATTCTATAACATTATTTAATATAATTTTCACAACTTTTCTATTATGATTAAAGAATTAAATTTATTTTACTAAGTGTCAGCATTTCATTACAGGGGACCTCTAAAATATGGGAAAAAGCATTGTCTGGTTTGTCAATAACATAACTATAATTTATATTTATTTATTATCCTATCTAGTATAAATACAGTAAATTTCAAAAAATACAAACATATTTTTAACATAAGTTGCTTTAGCAGCAACAAATATGAAAACATCAAGCATAAATTCTAAAATGAAATATTCAATATACTGCAAAAGGTTATTTATTGTAAACAATTGTTAACACACAATACACGTAATACATAAATTTGTTACATAAGTATTAAAGAAGCGTGTTTTTTAATTTCGCCAATATTTATAATATACTAATATCTATACTATTATAATTTCATTTTTATTGAAATATCCATTTATCCATGAATTAAGGATTTATTTTCATGTTTTTATCAGTATTATATTTTTTATAGATATTGTATTAATTTATAAATATTGTAGAAAGCCAAATTTTCTTTTTTATCAAAAAATTAAACTAGGTTTTGACGCAAATTAATTGATATCAAATTATCATAACATATTATGATAATTATTTAAAAATAACTTTATATAATTATATTTTTAAAAGGTTATTTTGTTACAATAAAAATAATATCGATATTATAATAAAAATAATAAAATTTTCACTATCATTGGATTTTTAAGTCTTATAGAATTGTTTCATTGATACAATGATCATTACGTTCACAGTTATAATACCAGGTACTTTTGTTTCTTATTTCAATTATTTCTATGAAAATCAGAGATGACTGTGCTTATCATTTTACAAATTTAAAATATAATTTAAGTTACACGTATCAAATAGTAGAAGATAATCATATTATTAAGTGTATAACTGTATATATATGTATATATTAATAATATAAATATACATATACAGTTAGAAACTATAATAATATCAAATTTCATAATGCAAATTTGTTTAGTAAAACTGATATGAATGTAATAATGTTATCACATATTGATACACATGATATATTGTGTAATTATATGAACGAACACTTTCATTAATATTTCAATATCTTGTAGACAGAGATAGATTAACTGGAGAAGATATTTTCATTTATAGGTATTTTGAGAAACTTAAATCATTTGCTGTTTATTCCCATAAATTGCATGTATCTACTACCAATTTAATTTATATAAACTATTATATATTGGAATATAGTTATAAACTATAGTACTTCTTACATTTAGATAGCAGCAGCAAACAAACATATACAGAATATTTGATTCCATTTTTGTTTGTAAATATATTTTATAATTTTTCATATATAACTGGCCACTACTTGTTACTATATAGTTTATATAATATTGTTCTCTTCTCATATATAAAATCCATTAAATACATAAGAGGAATACAAAAGTGAACAAATATAGATTAATGATACTAAATAATAAGCATAGATAATCTTTTTGCTTCTTACTAAAATTGATGATTGTTATAGTTGTTTATAATTATTGAAGAATCATGAAAGAGTGTTCATTATAGCTTTATAACAATAAACTTAATCTTATATTCTCACTTATGAAAAATACGTGCTAAAGGTCCAAAGCACCATAATAATTTTATGCAAATGTTGATCTTGATTGTTCTATTAATTACTTTGGCAGGTACTTCGAATTGATCACAAAGATTTCGCATATCTAGTTAAAGGCAGAGTAGTCAGAATAGATCTAAAATTTTTCTAAGAGTCTTAAAAATATTTGATACATAAAATATTCCAAAGAAAACTTGGCATTACCTATAAATTAAAATATTAGAATATTAAAGTAATGTTAAGTAATGTTTTCAACATTAGATAATTTGATAAACTTACTTATAAACTAAATTAATGTAATTTAATGCCCAAATACATCTTGGCTGGCAAAAACCATATAAAGAAAGCCATCTACGTCTTTTTCTCTTTGATAAAGTTGTCCTAGAGTCATACTGCCACTTGCAATATTTCTTTCATTTACCAAGAAAAAAAATGCTTGCGATGGATGTAACTGGAGTCTACGTCTAATAATTATAATCAATAAATATTATTATCTATCAGTTATATCAAAATATATAGAATTTAAAAGTGTACCTAATGATTTTAACCAATTCTGCCACTGTTAAAAAATCTGGTACCAAAAATTTAATTCTACTCAATAGTGGTAAATGTTTTTCTCCATGGAATTTTTCTATAATAACAGGTATTCTGTTTGGATAACGACGTCTGATCATATCTACATCATGAATTCTCTCTGCTAAATTACAAAAAAAATATCTTAGAATTATTTACGTTTAACAAAAAATAATATATTTCTGAATATAATTTTCAATATTTATTAAATAATTATTATTAAATAATTATTATATATTTACACGCAGATATAAATGAAAGTTATTCTTATACGTTTTCTTTTATCATGGAAGACACATTTCAATATTAACAAAAGTCTATTTAAGCTATACAGTAAATAAAAAAACTAGCTTGTTTAGCTTTGTCTTTCAATTTTAAACAGGAGAAAGAATAGAAAAAAGAATTGTAATTAATACAATAAAATATATACTTACCAAGTGAATATCTTTCTTTAAATTTTCTGGGAGTTGCACTCATCATTTCGCTACCTATTATTACGTTTAGAACGTTATTAGCCGAGAGTACGAGTCAAAATAATGCCAGTCCCAGGCTGTTCTTAGCTTAAGCTAGGTTCGAAAGACAATGAAAACACATGTTCAAATTGATTTGTGCTGCCCTCTTAAAACTTGTCAATCATTTTGTGTCTACTTTGTTCATTGTATCTTTCAAAACTAATTTCTGTCGTTACAGAAAAAAATAAAATTATAATATTATATAAAAAAGTATATTTTTTTCTACTAAAAAGTATCTCATTAAATTAATAAATAGATCACGAAGGATTAACAATTCTAGTTATTTGATGTACAACTATTGGCTAGTAGTTACCAATGAAATGTAATCTTTAGAAGTATTTTTGTACCATCGCAAATAATGTTTAAATTGAACTGCTAAAGTTGATATGATTAGTCAAGCAATATGATCAACAATAGAAATTTTTTGTTTTATAATATCTAAAGACTATAATTCCGTTTTCCTTACATCATGTTAGTTCTTTTAATAAACGATTCGTCATTGGCTAGAGAGCACGTAACCGAATGCGATAGCGCTTCACGGAAAAAGCGGAAACTAAAACGGTGAAGGAGAGATACTAGACCATCTAGAGTAACAGTATAGTCTATGTCCTCCCCCTAGCTTTGAAACGAGAATACGTGTGGACACCTGTGCGTGCGGCAAGCACCAACCGTTGTGTACGTGAGATTGTATGCGTGGGTGTCGCAGGCGTTTCTTTATGAATAGAGGAATGGTATACCCGCCTCGAGTGGTTCGTGAATCGGCAAGTGGAAATTTCTCAGTGAAAAATTGTGTTGGAATTGAGTAAAACGATTCAGTGTTATCAAATGCAGCCTGAGAGGGGTACCTACCGCTTGTCGGAATTGAACGTGCAACTTGCTTGATACACGCGTGCCAAACGTCGAGAACAAGAGAAGGGACAACAAAAACATCTGTACGTTGATAAGGGAGTGCATTGACAAGGAAAATATACCGGAACCATCGTAGGAATGATGGACAGTCGCGTCTTAATAATCACGATGGAGGGGTCCTCGCCACCGGAGGCGTCGCGCTACGACTACGTCTAATCATCGAAAATTCACGAGTATCTCTCTCGCGTGGTATCACGTTTGCTCGTTTCTCAAAAACGAGAGCTAAATACACGGGAGATCGTGCATCAGCCAGTTAGTCTGGCCGTTCATCCGTTTGCCTGGTCGTCTACCCCTTCTAAACCGTCCTGACACAACGTTTGACGGGGGTATAAAAAGAATAAACATGGTGGCGGCGTGAGAGAGACGGATAGGGAGATCGTGAGAAGGGAGAAGGACGGAGGAAGAGGAAGGAGGAGAGGGAGAGAGGGAGAGAGAGAGAGAAAGAAAGAAAGAAGAGAGAAGTCAGCCAGCTAGCTAGCCAGCCAGCCAGCCAGCCAGCCAGCTAGCCAGTCAGTGTGCCAGAAGCGACGAACTTCGTTTCGTGCTTCTCTTTGTTTCGATGAGAAAGTACTCTCTTTCCTCGACGTCTTTACCTGTACTTTGCATTTATTCATATTCGCCTTGACAGAGGGTACGAGAGTAACGAGTTTCGCACGATTAATGCCCCAAAGGAGAAGAGAGTTTGTAAACAGTTATCAAGGTGCGGCCACGTTCACCGTGTTCGCGGTGTTTGCTTCGATTTTCATGCGTGCTCCACCGGGGTCCACGACCGAGCGTGTGAGAAATTCAGCATATAGTCCGGCAACGAGCGGTGTGGCTCGCATTTTGGCTTGCAGTGTCCCTCGTCGAGGTGATAGCGCAATAATAATATGTCGAGCAGATTTTCGAGCAATGATTCGATAACGACGAACGTTCGCCAGATTGTTATCGCGAAGGATCCTCGTCCGAAAAATAATACAATGTAAACGATAATTTAACGACAATTTAACGACAAATCACGAGGAACTGTCACGACGCATGTAAATAGAACACGGTCATCCGTGACTAGACGAATAACTGCCCGTGAAGACTTGAGAAGCCGTACTTTTCTAATTAAAAATTCCACCGATGAAATTCTTCTGTCAAAAGAAAGAAGTCCGTCGTGCAACCTCATCGAAGAGACGTTCACGCCGATCGGACGATTCCTGTATCGATTATCAACGATCGAGAACGATCTTACTTAGTTTCCAAGTCCTTTTCACAATAAGTCGTTTAAATCGAATCATATATGGCTGTCCCGATTAACGGTTATTACGCTCCAGGAGAGGTGAATCTCGTCGATAGTGAACATGAACTATTGTGTACGGAGGACGACGAAGCTGTTATTTCGACGAGCGTTAACGTTCAATTCTGTTCGATAGTTTGTCCGATTTGAAAAGCGAAACGGAAAAGAAAAAAGAAAGAAAGAAAGAAAGAAGAAAGAAACGTTCGAATGGAGGGAAGTCGTTCGTGTTGGCCGGCCTGGTGCCAATAACCTCCAGTCAGAGAGGTGGTAGACAGTTTTTTTCGCACGATGCGTTTGCCCTCGTGCTTAATAGATTATAAAATTAGACGTTCGAAACTTCGTGCAAAGGTAAAAGGAACATCGCGTTGTTCCCATGCGGTAAAGAAGGTGGAGACACTGGCTGGTGATAACGAGCAAAGGGTCAAACGAAGGAGGAAATTAATACAAGTCGGATGAATAATTTCGAGGGGGGGTAGACAGCTGTGCATGGTAGTCAGAAGTGACGTCAGTCGCGTTGGGTTCATAGTTCCTCTTATTTTCATCGTTCGAAGCCATCGTGTACAGAGGCCGCGTGCAAAGGGGTAACAACGAAAGCGGCGAATAAGCGAAAGAAAGAAAGAAAGGATATACACGTATTGACGGTATACACGTTGAACTTTTTTTAACCGATCACCGATCGTCGCCTCGCTCTTGTCACAGCAAAAAGAATCATCACAATTTCTAGTCCGCTGCATTTACATCGAGAAACCCGTCTTTTTTTTTTTTGTTTTTGTTCTCTCTCTCTCTCTCCTTTCTCGACGAAATATTTTTAGACGATCGATTGTATTTCAAGCCACACGTGCGACCGCTTCATCGGCGACAGGGGGATCGACGACTTATTCGACGTGCTCTTCTAACGAGTTAACGATGCGCATTTATCGAGCACGGATCGCAGCCTGTTCGTAATGCTTTGGAATCTTCGAAGACTCACTAATTTCAAGGTTCACTAAATAGTCGTTGCGGGAGACAAAGAGGAGAGAAGCATTTTGCACACATTTCGTTTCAGCAAGACACACCGAGAACGAGACTGATATATTCGAATCGCATTAAATCCTTTAGTCGATTAATTTATTCGAGGTGAAGTAACCTGTAGGAGGAGTTAATTAACAAGATCGGCAGATTGACCAAATTTACTCCTATGTTTTATATATATATAAAATAATATATGTATATATAAGACATAAAATAAACTGACGTAGATTTGCAAACTTTGAAAAAAAGAACGGAGAGAAAGATTGAAGCAACGCGGGGCAATAACGATCGCGTTCAATTAGCGTACGTATTAATCTCAACGAACCAATATGTTTTTTATCCAAACGACAATACATTGTGACACGTTAGAACAGATAATAATAGTTGAAATTGCAAGAGAAGAAAGACGTTAGACGAAAGATAAGGGGTGGTCCGACGATCAATGCGCTTCGCCCTATCGATTTGTACCGGCAAGAATAATCGTCCAATGGTTACTTACCTCACTTTCTTCGATAAACGACTTGTTGGTCTGCCTGGAGGGAAGGAACATACACTTCATCGTCAAATGGACACAAATGACTAGCTTAACATTAATCTCGAGCACGTTCGAAATGCCCCGGTCTAGACCAAAACTGTTCGTACCCGCGAACGCGATCTCGACGCAGACTTACAGCACACCGACGAGCGAGAGCAATCATTTACCACCGTTGAAGGGTAGCACGTTAGCTTTGAAGCAGTCTGCCAGCGAGTCGTCGCCTAGTTACTTGAGCCGCAGCAGTCACATGTCCGGTACTCACCTGCCGAGTTTAAGTTCCAGCGCAAACAACAGCCTGCTCAGCCTGACCGGGAACTCCGACAGCTTGAACCTGAGCCTGAGCTCGCACACGAGCCACAACTCGAGCCATAACTCGAGCCACAATTCCAGCCACAATTCCAGCCACAATTCGAGTCACAATTCCAGTCACAACTTCACTCATAATTCCAGTCATAACTTCACCACCGCAACCACCACCACCACCACCACCACCGCTCACGAGTCTCAGCAGTCGAACAGCCAGTCGAGCACCGCGTTGGTGTTGAAGAACGGAACGTGCTCGAACGGAAGTTCCTGCGGCAGCGGTATCTGTAAACCGAAGACGATCATCGCCACGCCTGACGTCGTTCTAAAGATCTACGTGGACAAGTTGACACCTTACGAGCACCACGAGATCTTCAATTACCGGCATGTGTATTTCATCGGGGCGAATGCCAAGAAGAGGCCAGGAATAATCGGCCGGCCTCACAACAGCGGTTACGACAACGAGCATGGTTCCTACATCCACGTGAATCACGATCACGTGGCCTACAGGTACGAAGTGTTGAAGGTGATTGGCAAGGGGTCGTTCGGCCAGGTTGTGAAGGCGTACGATCACAAGAAACAGGAGCACGTTGCTCTGAAGATGGTCAGGAATGAGAAGAGGTTCCATCGACAGGCACAGGAGGAGGTGAAGATACTGAGGAAGCTGCGCGAGCAAGACAAGGACGACACGATGAATATTATTCACATGTTCGAGTCGTTCACGTTCCGTAACCACATGTGCATCACCTTCGAATTACTCAGTATTAACCTGTATGAGCTAATCAAGAAGAACAAGTTCCTGGGCTTCAGCATGCAGCTCGTGAAAAAGTTCGCTCACTCGCTGTTACAATGCCTCGACGCTCTCTATAAGAATAGGATCATTCACTGCGATATGAAGCCGGAGAATGTTCTTTTGAAGCAGCAGGGACGCAGTGGTATCAAGGTACGTTCCTTCTCTCCTCTCGTACATGTTTATGCAAATTTTTTCAGGCTATATATATACACCAAGCCTATACAAGAACATCTTTTTATTGTTTGATATAGATAGACAAAAAAAATTTTCATACTTACAATACTACTACTACTACTACTATTACTTTCATACTACTCACGATATTTTTAACACTAGAACTACCGATTAAAGCATAATATTTGTAGCAGAGTGTGAGAAAAAATTAATGATACAATAAAGAACACAAGCTTCTATTAATATAACAATTTTATCTAAAATTATTTTAAAAAATTATTTCTAAAATATTTTTATATAAAAATGACAAGAGTATGTAAAAATATACTGTTATAAATATGTGAAATTTTCATAGAAAATTATCAATTAGTCATTTTGACTACTTTGGTAGTTCCAGTGTTAATGCATGAAATCTGGTCTTCGCCTTCGATTTTTCTGAACTCTTCACGAAGAGTAAACAGCCGCCTCTCGTGCCAATATCTAATACGTTGTTCGCTTCGTGTTGGAACTTTCGTTCGCTCTTCGTTCCGAGCCGAGATCAAACGGCGCGAATCCTCTCGACAGACAGGGAACACAAGCTCGCCGTTAGCGTGAATACCGGCAGGCATAAGCGGAATAAGCGCGACAAGTTGGCTCGCGTGCTTCACGACGTGCTTCATATACATGCGTACTATACCGTACACGTATGTACGCAAGTGAAACGTAAAAAATACTAGCGTGGTCGTAAAATTAGTCAGACTCGAAAGTACAGGTGATGTTTCAACGGAACAGAAATTTGAAAAAAGTTGGGAAGGAAGACAAACGTGTTCACGTCATTTTAAGAATCTTTTTCTCCCAAATTGCAATATTTTTTCAGTTTTAAGTATATTTAAATGAAAACCAGGCAAAATGAATGATAAGTTTATTACCTCTTAATAATTTCTAGTCCAGTGACATCATACCGACGAGTTCAGAAGAAAAAGAAAGCGACGAATTATTGTATACGGTTCGGTCACTCGTTATGGTCCGCGAACCAGCGCGAAAGGTTAAAACGTCGATTCGAAGTTACTGTAATTTTTTCCTTAACAGTTGTTACTTTTCACCGACGCGATAATCATTATACGAAGTGAGAAGCGACAAAATTTTAATACGGTATGGGTGATTTCGATAAAAGTAGATAATTTTTTCGAGCCCGCTGTTCCGGCTCTTCCACGAACGGAATGTTCCCGTATATATCACGCGAAAGCATATGGATTTCGTGTGTCAGCGTGCGCACCGGTGACAACGAATCGTGGGATCGCACAACAATGCGCGAAGATTAGCATATTGACGAATGCAATCACGCACGCATGTGCAGAGACACGTATAGACGACAGACGTCCTTGTCCCCTGTAATAAGCTCTGAGAAACATGTGCGATGCCACGTCCAGGTAGCATCGCTATTATCTCGCCGCGACCGGTCTATAGTTTATAGAATTTGCACGCAATATCGTGAACTTTCCAGCTGCTTGGTCGCTTTCTTCGCCGACCTTGCGAGGCCGAGTGCATCGAAGGTGTACGCGCCACGCTTTCGCTTCGACATTTTTTCTTCGAGTTTCGTTACAGTTTTTTTTTTTTTTCATTTCTTTCGAATTATTAACCACGCGGACGACCCCGCATGCGGTATGCAAGACAGTAACAGACAGTGACAGATATGTAAAAATAGTCGCGTCTTCTAGAGTTGCGTTCAAATATTGAGAGATGAGGAATATTGGTATGGATGAAATAAAAAGAAGATTGGCTGTCGTTCTACATCTTGTATGCTTCATAGGATATGCTTTATGGAAATTGATTTGAGGACAGAGTAGATTTAAGTATTTTGTTTCTATGTCAAAGGTCTTTGGGTAACTATTGATTAAACTGGAAATATTTATTTTAATTTGGATGGGCAGGTGCTCCATTATTACAGGAAAAGAGATAAAGTATGTACATCCTGAGAACAAAAATACATAACAGTATACAAGCGAAGACATAAATTGTAGATTAAGTAAATAACTTAATACTTTGAAATTGTTTGACGAATCGGAAAACAAATTAGTATGGTTCATATGGCACATTCTGATAATTGGATCGGAGAATGGCTTCTAAAATAAATTTATCCAACATAGAAATACGGGCGAGACTAGCATTAATATTAGAACTATCAAAGTAGTCAAAATGACCAATTTATAATTTTTCTTAGATATTTTATAGACGTAACAGCAGCGTATTTTCTAAGGATTTAAATAATTTTTCGTAAAATAAATAAATGAAAGCTTGTATACTCTATTGTACTATAAAGTTTCTCTATTTTTTTTTACTTGAAATTCTATGCTCACCGGCAGTTCTAGTGTTAAAATAAATGTTGAAGAAGACTTCAAATTACTATTTAAAACAAAACAAAATAAAAAAAAGTAAATCGACTTTTTTTGAACATTTCAAACCCCTTAAGAAGAATTAAATTCAGGAATTACACGCCAAAGCTTCTGGGTGTCTAGTCTGTCTCGAGCGCGCGCTTGAAAAGAAATAACTGGGAATGTTTTAATAATTTGAATAATTCAAGAGGAACCTCTGGCACGGATATATATAATTAACCGAGCTCGGTTTGGCTCGATAAACCACAGAACTTCACGTAAACTGCTCGAATTCTCCAAGCGTCACGTCGTAACTCCACGTTTATTGAAATTTTTATTTATCCATTCCCCTCGAGGGGTACACACGTGTGCTCGTTATTCGTCTTAAAATCAGTTTAACGAACTGAGGAAAGTGGTTGGCTCGTCGAAATCGGCGGGAAATCGCGATTAGGTTTTATTACCCAGTTGTTAACGATGTTCGTCAGTCGTTCGAGGAATATTTCTTCGAGCGTGTGGATCATAGGCACGATGCACGATCGGATATTTCGAATAAGATCGCGAGGAGTGACACATCGCAAGGCGATCGAGCATCAGTCGAAGATCAGTCGAGCGTGAGTCGTATCTGAATGGGCGAAAGTAAGTCAAATTTCCGCCAGATAGAATATTCACGCCGAACTTGTTGCTTGCATTTCTTTTCCGCTTACGATAGTAGACAAATGTAATCTGCTTCTTACATGTGAAAGAGAAACGATTTTTCGTAGGGCAAATAACACGGTATTCCGATATTAAGATTCGTCAGTTTTAAGCTAATAAACATCGTTGATTATCGGCTAATAAATAATAATTCAACGATAATTCTTTGGATCTCAGTTTATTATCGGGGGATTAAAAATCAATTCTCTTCTTTTCACACAGAAATTATTATTCTGAACTTTTGTGAAACTGGATTTAGGTTGTTATGCACCGTGTCGATGTATCCATCGTCGAGTAGCGTGCCAAGTCCTGTAACATTGAAACTATGAATAATGTATTATGTGTGCTCGATCCCACACTATTTTGTCAATTTGGCTTTTCTATTTAAGCTCCAATGTTTAACACGCCGTGTATTGTTTCATCAGTCCGAATATTCGTCGATTTTTCGAGAGAGAAAAATCTCTCAGATATGTCGTATTTCATTTAATTGTATTCCTTCTTCTTCCATGTTTCGTTATTCTTGACTGTACACATACGATGGTTCGTTATCTCGTTTCTTCTCCCGCTGACGCGATGGAAATATTGAAAGGGATTTATCCGCCTTTTCATAAAATTACACAGAGGAGCAATCGGTTGAACGTGCCGCGACGAACTCGTAAATTAGACGGCATACGATCCCTGATGAAAAAGCTACAGCCAGACTGCGGATAAAAATTCAAATCCACAAGATTGTGTCGGATATTCGTACACGAAGGTTGAGCAGAACGCGATGAATCACGTTTCTTTATTCCCGTCTTTTAATCGATCCAGTTTTCGACTTAAATACGTACATATATATTGTTATATTCTCTTCATAATCACAAAAGTATTGTAATTACGTCGTGGCAACGAGAAACACCTTCGGTTTTTACGAATGTATACTTATCAACGTACTTCGTCCCGTTATCCTCATACAATGTGCAAAAAATGTAATAAAAGCGAAGCCCAAAGTAAAATACATTTTACATTTTCATAAAAATCCGAATTTGCATGAACATCCGCCGTCTTGGCCGTAACTATCGCCGAAGGAAAATGCGAGAACACGAGGTATGCGCTCCGTGGTTGCAGGAAGCTGAAGTTTATAGCAATTTGTTCGAAGAGGTCACGATTTAAGAACTAGCATCCCAAGGCAATTTGTTGCATACTCGCGCGACGATGATGCGGGCACTGTGAATCAGGTTTTACGACTATCCATTGATATTACGTATCATACGGCGTCGTAATTATTCCGATCAGGTGAATCTCTCGTTTTATTCCGTTCGCGATCTTAAATATTGAATAATCACGCGCGTAACATCGATCCGTCGATTTTTCTTTCTTGACCAGATTCATTATTTCTCATTCGTTTGAACGATCGTGCTCCGTTTAAACGTACTTTCCTGCATTTAACGCGTCGTGATGTAACTATAAAGCTTAACCGCGGTGTGTAAACGCAAATCGACCGTAAACTCTGAAATACGTGAACTACGTACATACGTTCCTCTCGTGTGATTATTCAAAATAGTAGCTAACAAAAGTGAAGAAGAACACGCGGGGAAAAGATGAGAGAAGAGGCTCGTATGTTCGTTGATTTCTTGACTTTGATGTCGGATAATTGCTTCTTTCTTAGTGACATCTTCATAATTCGTTAACCTCTTGTGCTGGCAACTGGTTCGCGGACCATAACGAGCGACCAAACCGTATACAGTAATTCGTCGCTTTCTTCTTCTTCTTCTTGAACTCGTCGGTATGATATCACTGGATAGAAATTATTAAGAAGTAATATACCTATCGTTTGTTACATTTAAATATACTTAAAATAATTATAATTATAATAAACATAATAATAACTATATTATATAATAATATAACTACTTAAATAATAATATAATATACTTAAAATAATTATAATTA